GTTCCTTTTTTGTTTATTTCGATTTATTAACGGCTTCGCCACTGACACCAACTATGCAATGATGTACATTCTGCGTGAGTAGAGTGGTACTGGCATTAATTTTTATTTAATATAATTCGCAATCACTTTTCAGTTTTGGAATATATACGTCCTTCATTGCGCACAATTTGCCTGAGTATCACTGTCGGCGTCTTTTACTGTATGGGCGCGATATGTGCACCCTGGGTGGCGCTGCTATTGGGCACCTGGCGTAGTTACCTGCTTGTCAGCTCGGTGCCATTAATAATAGTGCCCTTCTTTTATTGCATTTTACTGGAAAGCGTACAATGGCTGATCTCAAGGCAAAACTATAACAAGGCTGTAGCGACCCTGAGGCGTGTGGCCAAGATTAATCGTGTGCAAATTGAAGACAGCGTTTATGAGGAATTTATTGCGAGCTGCAAATTAAGTCAGCAAAAAGCAAAGATCGAGCCGAATCTGCTGGACCTCTTCAGGACGCCGCGCCTGCGCCGCACCCTTTTTATATTGGCGTTCGACATGTAAGTAAAACGTTGAATCACTAACTCGCAGCAGTCTGTTGTTTCTACGGCCTCATCCGCTTACCCACATAGGGCCGTCATTTCCTTTAGCCACTTTATTGCCATTCGTAAACTAAGGAGAGATTGGTTTCCGCATTTTGTTTGGAACTCAATTCAATATACCATGGTTCTGCCATCTTGGCTGATTGCCTTAGCTTTTCAAGATATCATCGGACGCAAGGCATTGAATTCGATATCGCTAATCTGCTGTTCCGTTTTTATCTCGATAACGAACATCGTTCTATTTGATGATGCTTCCGACACTAATCGCAGTAAGTCTAAGGTATTTAATCATAGTCTTTGTTATTTGTGCTGAAGATAAGGTTTCGATTTCAGATAATATAAATTGTAGGACTTACTACAAAATGCTACTATTTAGCTTGATTTTTATTAAATGTAAGGCTTAATTTCGTTAATTAACGAAAGTTAATTCTTTAGCTTTAAAATTCGCCGGATTCTTCAGCCGCAAGAATAGCACGAGCGGAAACTGTTTATTCCAACACTTGGTTCTTTATTCAATGCACTTAAAACTTTTTTTTATATAGAACTGAATATCACGTTGGTTAGATTTCAATTTTTCACTTGCGTATACTTAGTGAAAGGTAATAACTAAACTTTTTAAGCACAAAGTGCTCCGCATGCGGCTGAAATTCCCCGAAACTCCGTCTTAATGTGCACATTTCTCACATAATATAACTATAGTGAAAAATTTCAGCTTCCAACTCTTACGGTTTGGGGCTGTGCGTCAGTCGGGAGAGTCCTATGGCAGCTCAATATATAGAGTCAATATCCGATGTTGATAGGCCTATGCATATATATGAGAAGCATAATAAAACTAATAAATGCCGAGTTTGGTCAAGATAAACAATAAAGTGTTTCATACAAGAACATACTTTACGCCCAATCGTTCCTATGGCAGCTATATGATATAGTACAATAGTACAGTAAATATGAACTGCGTGCAACAGAAAGAGGGACTCCTGAAAAGTTTCATGACTATAGGTTAAGAACTAAGAGATAATTCCGCATGGATACAGACAGGGGGACAGACGGACATGACTATATAACCTCGGCTGTTGACACTGATCAAGAATATATATACTTTATGGGGTCGGCGGTGTCTGCGTTCTATGCGTTACACATATCGAGACTAAATTATAATACAAGGGTAGACAAATTATAACTTTACCTTTTAACGTTTTTTATACCCTGAACCCATTAAAAATGGGCTTAAGGGTATATTGTATTTGTGCAAAATCCAAATGTATGTAACAGGCAGAAGGAAGCATCTCCGACTCCATAAAGTATATATATTCTTGATCAGCATCAATAGCCTAGGATCTCAGAACCTATAAGAGCTAGAGACTTGAAAAATTAGATGTAGGTGCTCCTAGAAGCTCGCGCAGATCGAGTTTGTTTCCGATAATCGATAACTTACTCCGTTTCCAAGCAATCGATCAAAATCGATATCGATATCCTGTTTTTTGGGCAATTTTGGTAAATAATAAGAGCTAGAGTCACCAAACTTGACATATGGCTTCTAAAATAAAATATATTTAGGCATTTGATGTTGAAAGAAGAGGGTTCAGGGTATCCCCCAGTCGGGAGCTCCCGACTAGAGCCTCTTAATTGTTTTTTGTTATTTATGTGCACTTTCTGTATACTCTCCACAGTCACCATATTACAGCTTATGTTCTTATTGATTGGGATTTGTTTTTGTAACGTTGCCTTTAACACGGCCTCTTTGTACACTGTGGAGCTGTTGCCAACATGTCTGCGTTGCCAGGGAGATGCCACTGTAGATGCTTTTGCCAGAATGGTCCAATTGACTTGTACCTATTTTCTTAACATGACTAGTTTTTCCCCGCTGCTGCCGGAAATCATTTTGGTCGTGCTCACTTTGCTGGCCGCCTGCTTGTGCCTGCTGCTGCCGGAGACAACAAATCACACGCTGCCCAATTCACTGGAGGATAGCGAGGAGCTTGGAATTGACGAGCACTGGTACACATTTCCGTGCATAAAAAAGGGCATGTAGACGGTAACAAGATGCGTTTGCTTTATTAACTAATTACTTCGTTATTTGAAATGGAAGGGCTTGATGACTTCTCGGCTCCATGAAATCTGATAAATGCAAGTAAAGTATGAAAGTATTCTATTCCGAAGTAAGGTATACGAAATAGGTCTTATTTTATTTCGCTTTGCAAACGAAGTAGAAGATATAAATTCGATTATATATCTTAATTCATTTTCAACACGAAATAAGATATGTAACTATGTTAGATCATATATATTTTCAACCCAACTTTATATATTATCACAAAAATTGTACTGTAGTTGTTCCAACTAATTCGATCATCCAAAATAATGTACCTGCAATTGCCAAAAAATTAAGGAAAATGATACATACTTTATTTTGCTTTGAAGAGCACGCAGAGTAAATGAATAAGTCTGTTAATATACAATATTTCCTATTATGTTTAAAAATCTTCTTCTGCTAATTGGTTTAAAATGCGATGAAGAGAGGGTTAATTATTACAGAATCGGGCCCGAACGGTGGAATCGCTTTCGCTGCGATTACTTTTTGAGCTAATACTCCACCAAGCATAACTCTACGATTGTTTAAATGGGGGATATTAATCAAGTCTAAGCAAATATGACAGCAATGGAACACTAGCATCTCAATTTAGTCCACGGAGGAAATATAAAAGGAACTATTTCTGTACAGATTGAATTGCGTCTTGATTAAGTTGATCATAGTTCAATTGTCAAGTGTGTAAAAAATCATTTGGGGAGGGGATCTTATAGATAGTAATTACATTTAATAGTTAAGAATAGTATATACTCAAAAGTTTAACGTGAAACTAGGCATCCCTTTCTTCTTTTAATAGATAACAGGAAGATATACTCTTTCTGGCAATGCATAGCTTCACATCCCGTTCATAATTAATACACTTGAGTGAGACAATATCGAGTATTTAGAGAAGAGCGTAAAAGGTAGGGTGATCACTTGGATACATAGAGAGTATGGATTTATGAAAAGAACCTTAATTTTGAATAAAAGCACATATTGCACATGTTTGTATGTCGTTATTTCCTACGAGAACCGTATAGGCCGATTGGACTTTACTAGACAATAAACAGGAACGCAGACAACAAAATCAAGAATATCGTTGAGCTTCTTAATATCAGCTGGATTCGTTCACCTGGTTTGAATACCAAATAGCAGGCTCCTGTGCATAATATTGGACCTGGAAGCTAGCAATTAATCTTAAGTGCTCTGATTAATCTGTAAGTAATCTGTAATGTGTGAATATGATATGATACAGATGTTAGCCACGACCAGGTAAAAGCGATAGTGTCATAATCGAAAGCAAACTAGGAATTTTTAGACTTAAGACCTCTTATAATAGGCGCCAATAGACGAAGATCGTTGTCAGGCTCAGGGCTTAGTACGTTTTGTAATTAGAGTGTTGAACAAAAAAAAAAAATGGAAAATATATCTACCAGTCAGATTGGAAGCTCTGACGTCTCAGTGGACTTACCTCAAAATTTCTCATTCATATTTGGCTTCCCCCCCATTGACTGAACATTGAACATATTGTTTTTCTATTAATTATACACAAATGACATAAGAAAATTGCAGGAACAATGCGCACATATGGCTTCTACTTAACTACGAAGTAAAACCGCAAATGTCCCGCGGGAAATGCAAGAAGCAGCAGGTAAAACACGCGATAGTCAGAGATAATCACAATAATCGGACGCTGCACTCTGTCGATTTAAACGATTTTCAATATGTGAGACACGGTGTCGAGGGAAAAGCGTTTCACGTATGACGCACAATGGAAAATTCAATGTGGAAAAGTGCGCGGAACACAAAAGCCAGAAAAACTTGAAGGTAGCCAGCAACAATCGGCTTATAGTGCACGAGGGGGGGTTGACCTACGGCAGCCCTCGCACTCGACCGTGTCCTTGCTGTAATTACGTATCCTTTGTTCGGTGCTGCACATGTCTGTGTGTGTGTGTGTGTGTGTGTGCGTGTGGGTGTGTATGGACAGGCACATATGGACGAGGCAAGCCTGGGGGAGTACTGCAAGGTATTCAAACCATTAAGCTCAATATATGCATTTACAATTTTTAAAGAATCGACATTTACGGATATTACGGAAACAGAACGAGTTTCTTAAAAGCTAAGGTTTGGCTTCGTATCGATATTTATCGGGCTTGTATAGATATTTAGCGATGTTGAGAACATTTTGTAGTTAGTCCTTATCAAGGAACTTAACTTGAAATATTCTAGATCTTTGTATACTAACGAGGGACAACATATTAAAATATTGTTTATGGCTTACGTCCGTTAAGCCAATTAAATCAACGTTCCGAACTTCAAATCCTTTGCCTCCATTAAAAGAGAAACTTTACTTCTTGTCGCATAACTCATTTTACTTGCGTGATCAACTGCATGGCAAACACTTTGGGTATCTCGCCCGTGACCTCGACTATTTCCGTAAAGAATTTGTAAGTGCCCTTGAGCAGCTCGTCCGGATTGATTACATTAATCACACTTATATTTAGAATGGAGTAGTTGCCCACGCGTATGGGACACTCGAGCACCTCGCGCAGATGTATGGAGCTCATAAAGAAATGTCTATAGGTAGGATTGTTGAGAAATGCACAAAAATCCATGTGTTTCACTTCGAAAAGCTTTATAAAATCCCTGTCGTTCTCCAATTTTCGACGCAGGTTAATATTCATAATAAGATAATTGCTGCCCAGCTCTCGATCGAGCTTTACATAGATATCAAAGTGAAATCGATCCTCGTGTATGAGGGTAACAGCCTTCATGAAGTGCCGATCTCCGTGGATTCTGATGCGCTCTATATGCACAGTCTGTAATGCAATTTGGTAGAATCAATTTTAAATGCGTTTCAAAATATGTTTTATCTTACCTTGGTTTCAGAGGCTTCATCGCTTTTAGACGAATCATCGAGGTTTTGCATGTGAGCTAAAACGACGAGCCACAAAAATACTAGTAGCTGTTTCATGTCGGAGTGAGATCATGCTCGGAATGCATGAAATTAAAATAACAATTTTATTTTATATGCTTAATTTAATTTTTCATTAAGCTGAATTGAGTTGTGCACGAACGAAAGTTACCCTATAAACTAACCTAAGCAGGTTAGTAAGATCTTAAAAAATATTATAGAATTCATAGTTATTCTTTATAATAAGAATATATTAGGTATTTGGGGATTTGGTTACATCCAAATCGTATTATCTATCATTATATACATATATCTTAATCATCTTATTCGCAAATTAAGATTTTATATGTTTAATTATTTAGGGCTTAATCAAGCTTATTCAATTTGCCTATCGTATAGTATATAATAATTTGTTCTAAATATGTATGTTTTATTTTTAACAAATCTCTGGCTCCCTGTCAGTAATACATCGGTTTACGCTTAGAACTAAAGACTGACCTTCAGTCAATGTTCTGTCAATCCATACAAATACAACGTTGTCTGTTTTAAGCTGCTTGTAGTAAAAATTTGCTGCAAAATGTGCTGAGCTTTTATCAGTTTTAGATGTGGTTTTCTGATTAAGTTGAGTCTGCCAGATCCTATTTAATAATTTTACAACATTTAAATTACATCAAATTTTAGATATGTTACTTATAATTCCGATAACTTTTGTGAACTTTTAAGAATGTTAACGTAATTAAGTTCTTTTTGAAGGCGCTTTATCGTGCTTTCCAGTTTATAGGCAATTTGTCAACTACAAGTATTGCCATAGTATGTCACCACCTAGTCGACGTCTCAATTAGCTAACCGGCGGATATGTGCGCAATCAGGGCTCATTCATTAAGCGAAACAAGAAACAAACGACTGTGGAACAACCCACAGCTCGTAAATATATTGTACCCACACATATATATACTTATATATGTACATATATATATATATCAATATATGTATTTATACATAGTCAGTCAGGAAGCAGCAAAGTGTTGAAAAGCCAATTAGCGTTGCTTTTGCCAAATGACAGGAAGGAAGCCATAACCACAGCGACAGCCACAGCCAGTGGCAGAAGCAGAAGCAGAAGCAGCTGCAGCAACAGTGGCTGGTTGTGCGTGTAAATGGTGGAAATGGCAACTGTTTGGAATGAAAAGTTGAAAATTTATGAAAAACCGCACGCAGCGTCAACACCTCGATAGGCTGTAGCGTGAGTTGTGACCACTCAGCCAGCCAGTCAGTCAATCAGTCCTTCCCTCAGTTAGTCAGTCAGTCAGTCAGTCAGTCAGTCAGTCGGCCAATCAAGCAGCTCTCAGTGATGCTCACCTGCTGTATGACAGCTGCAGAGATGGGCGCATGTAGGAATTTTTTAAAACGCGACACAAGCGTTCTTGTATACTAATAAATGTTGGAAATAAAATTAAATTAAATAAATTAATTATAACAATTTTGTTCCGTGTTTTTGCTAGACTACCATTTCTTATAGTTTCTATATGCACAAGAGATATAATATAAGATTCGGAAAATATACTGTACATTTTCTCTATAAGGTTATAACATGTTAGCCTTATTTTTTTTACTATTTTGTAATTGGTTTGTAAAATTTTAAATTACTTAAAATTTTGATAATCTGTATATTTTGTTTATCCGAATATTTTTTATTTTTCAAAAAAAATAATTCCCATTTGGAGTAAATAAATATTTATTTAATTATTAAATACATTTAAAATAATATATTTATCTATGTTAGCTAATTTATGTTCAGGCTCGCATTTTTAATTTTAATTGCCCTCGATATAGTCGCCAACTCTTGTAATTGTGCTCAGAACACGTCGTGTTGAGTCACGATAGAAATCACGACACGCGCTCAGCTCTAGAAAGAGGTGTTGCGTAATTTTCTGCTTCATTTAATTAAGCCGATTCCATGGGTGAATTTTAGGGGGCGTTCAGAAGGCAGGGCGGGAGACTCTTGCGTTCATGTTGTATGACTGGCGATTGGGCTTAGGCGGCTTAGTCTGCCTGCCTCACACATGCACATGTGGGCGCGCTTTGGTAATTAACTCACATGTCCATGTTCATAATTCATAATGTTTTGCTTAATTATTTATTCATAATGTCTAATAGTGCCGCCAGCAGCAGCAGCTTAAAGGTTACCAGCTTAGTTCCTATTAATTGGCACAAACAAGTGCCCCGAGACCAACAATAACACACATTGATACAATGTTCGATAAACACAAAGATTAACAATAAACAAAAATACGTAGTCTATATATAATTTCTAGGGTTTGCGTACGCGTGTGTCGGCCAGAAAACAGGCGACCACCTGATCCGATTGTTCCGCATCGTGGAGCGAAACCTGCAGCCGGGTGGGCACCTCCGGCTGATTGCTGGCAACTGGGAGTAGGAGGCGATAGGTGACATCCTCCCCAGCGTCCAGTGGACAGTAGGCGCCATGCAGCAAATTTTTGCACACATTGCTGCGCTGCGCCTCCAGTTCATAGGGTATGGTCACGCCCAGTGAGGTCAGGTGCACCCGCGCCGTCAGCTGATGCATGGAATTACGTGCTGAAATTTCAGTAATTTTATAGATTAAAGATATATTTCTAAATGGGCCGGCTAACTCACTGGCTACAAACTGTATGGCTATATTGGACTCCAGACCCTTCAGCAAATCACAGGGTAGCTCATCGCAGTTATCTATTTGCACCATCAATGGCAGCGGATTGCTTGTATTGGCACCTGTGTGTGCGGAATACCCTTAATTAATAATAATTGCTTAGACAATTTCAATCTATCTACTCACATTGCCGGACGGGCGTATCACCGATGACAAATGTCCAGTTCAGTGCGCAGATCAGGCACAAATATAAACAAACTTGGTTGGCAGACATTTTGTGCTTCAATTCTGTTTTTATAAACTAACAAATTTCTTTCGGCTATTATAGCTGTGCGCCTTCAAAGCTGATTGCGTTTTAATACCATTTGGCAGCATTCGCTGCCTTTTATAGCAATGGGAGGCAACAGCTGGGTAGCATAGTTCGCCTGCACTTGCCGCCTAATCTAATCGGCCCAGTTTAGAAAATATTTTATTGTACCATATTTATTATACTGATTTGTTACGGGCTTGCTAATCTATAGCCAAATTCACTTAATTGCTTGTCTGCCATTTGAATAAGCATTCAATGAAAACAAAAAATTAAGGAACACCGAAACTTAGTTCACAGCTTAAATGAAAAGAGAAGGAGAAGAAGAAGGAGGGCTATATTTGGCACACCGAAGATTTAATACCCTTGCAGACCCAACCTTTTCATATGCCCGTATCTAAGAAGCACTGGGAAAATAGTTTTCGTCCGATCAGTCCTATGGCAGCTATATGATATAGTGGAGTGATAGGAGTGAGATAGGAGTGCAACAGAAAAAAGGAACTTTTGCAAAGTTTTATGACAATAGCCTTAATACTAAGAGACAAGTTTGCATAGAAACAGACAAACAGACAGGCCTTGCTATATCGACTCAGCTGTTGATACTGATGAAGAATATATATATTTAATGAAATCGGAGATGTCATCTGCTATGCGTTACACATGTCACGACAATTTTTATGGGAGATGCTCTGCGGTAATTGTAATTCCCTGCGAGCCGAAGGCTGTGTGCGCAGAAAACCCGCCTACAACCGATTAAACCGGGTAAACTTAACTTATTATAAGAAAATCTTTTATTTTTCTTCAAACTAAATAGTACATTTTTCAAATAATTTGTTCGTTAAGACAAAGACATTAAGACTGCTATTTACCTTTTTAATTAAATCCATCTAGATTAAACTATTATTAAATAAAAGATATTAATGCAATAGAGATAGATAAAAAGCAAAAACTGGCAAACTTTTCAATTGGATTTTGTATTTTAATTTGTGTTAGTATTCAAATAATTGTGCATGAATCATAGTTTGTATGATAATGGAGCTCTTAAGATATAAAACTTAACGATGATTCATGGCAGTTACCTCTTGAGCCAAACAATTGAGTACACTTACGCCCACAAAGAGTCTTTTCCCCTTTTTAAGATACGACGAGTACAGCTGAACTTGACTGCCGGCCATTTCGAATAAGATGATGAACCCAACACCTGTTGGTCCCTAACTAGTCCGAGTACAGGCAAACGCGCTATTTACGCTTATCATTCGGCAGCGATAATAAAATTAGCAAGCGCTTAGCGAAAACAACAAAACAAACAAACATTTTTCTTGCATATTTTCAGGCGGTGCCACAAGAAAAACCACCGCCCCATTTTAGAACTACCTGTACCTGAACTGGCCTCCTTGCTTAGCTATGTTTACTTACGCGGGCAGCTTGAAAAGTAATCGACCTTAACAACGAGAATATATTGAATATATTTTCTTCAAGCCCAAAATGGATCAGCTTCAAAAAACTAATCTATCTATCTGAAGACTTGAAATATTTAGAACATGGCTCAAGGCATGAACAGTTCGGGTTTATTTTAAATCATCGATTACTAGCTATTTTACCATGAAATCGATTAAATCGAGCTAATGGCCAATTCTCGAAGCCTATACGAGCCAGAGACACCAAGTTGGAGATGCTAGTTATTGTAGAGTATATATACATATACTCTCTCTATATATATATCGAGAGAGAGTATGTAGAGAAACAATCAACTTTTTGGATACCTCCGCGAGCTCTTTTGAAAATTTTAGGAAATTCGTTACACATTTTTGTCATTATAATCGAACTGTAAAGTTAAACCGCGACGTAATTCGTTTCCTGTCAGCGCCGATTTCTTTTCAACCTACCCTCGTATTTATGTTCGCCCGCCGTCGACAATACATTAACGTCAATTTATATGCATAGGCAATTTGAAACAAGTTTTATACAATTTCTTACACCCACTTGACTTTACAAGTAGCACCACCAGCAACAGCAGCGGAAGCAGCTGGATGTCAAGGGGTGAACCACTCGGCGTGCACTTGTGCCCAAATTTCATCAATATTCTCATATTTTTCATAAATTTCAACTGTTTTATATGCAAATTAGCTGAGCGATTTTCCACAGATTGCGACTAAGTTGATTTTGTTGTTGTTCTTGAAAATTGATTTTTAAATGTTTACGTCTAGATTATTAAAATGCTTAAATGATTGGCATGGCTTGTTTTTGAGGGATGGTTGCAGTGTTCCCTTTCTCTTCTTTTTTTTTTTTGAGCATTCAAGTTCATGGACAATTATATTAATTTGCATTTACTTAATTAGTTTGCGCGTCAATGAAAATTTAAGAGATTTTTCAACAGAGCTTTGAGCTGGTATTGGATTTTTGTCAAGTTGAATGGGCTTGTCGCATTGATAAATCAAAAATATTGTTACTATAGAAACATCAATAATCTTTTGTGGTTTTGGTTAAGCTTGGCTCTTATAAACTTGGCTCTTGATCTCTTTTTCCTTCAAAATTGAAACGAATCGGTTTGTATAAAATTCCATTTGTATCATCATATTTCAGATGTCATCTTGGCATTACCTTGTATACTTGGCATAAATACATATCGAAAAATTTTTAAATTCTCGACTAACTTTTCTGCTCTTCAATTTTCATTTGCATTTCCACTTTGAAACATGCCCTCGAACCATTTGGAATATGTATTTCATAGAATTCCATGAAAATTTAACTGAAATGTTTCAACATTCAAATGTAAAATTTCAAAAAAAAAAAAAAAAGGAGTTAAGCTGAAACTGAAATTATAGAACGGTAAAAGTCAAATCACTCGAATTATGTGCAAAAGCTTCAAAGTAAAATTTTAATTATGCATTGGCCGCACTTTAAATGCACAAAGAGTTCCACATATTTATGCAAATAAAGTAACATATTTCTCTGGCTTGCGAATGTTTGTGCACAGTTTCAGGCCAGCAATTTGTGTGAAGGGTAAGGGTTGAAGTAATGTGCAAGGGTGCGGGTTGCATTAAATGCCAACACGTGACCCGTGTGCTGTAAGGTAAAAATTGCTCGACAGCAAACTTGTCGAAACGCTTGTTCTTCTGATTTCGGGAAACATGAATTTTGCATTCATTTAATTACAGCACCCGAGCAAGGCATTGCTGGCAGCAGGCGGTGTGCAATTGCCAAATTAATTAGTGCTCCTGGCTGGCTGGAAAAAATTTAATAATTTTTGCATGACGGCCTATGCAAATTGCTGGAAAATATCAAAGTGCGCGCCAGGGCGGAAAACTACGCAGGTGAAAATTGCAAGTGAATAAAGAAAAACGCTGCTCAAGGGCAATTGGTCATCTGACCAGAATAGACCAAGTAAGAGTGCTCTAATCGGGAGTACCCAACTAGCAAATACACTGCATAAGGCAACAATGCATTCTGACATATGAAATATACAAAAGCTCTTTATACACCTTTCTCTATCTATACCTTACAATAGATACAATATTTGAAATTAAAATAGCGAATAGGCACTCAGATTTTTGTTATTCGGTTCATATATGCTTCCCTCTGCACCTACCCCTCTGTTACATACATTAGCAGACAACCCTGATACCCATTCTTAAGCATTCACTGGGTAAAGGGTATAGCAGAATGTTAGAGAAACCTCAGAAAAATGGTTTGTTAGATTGTTAAAATACATCCAGTTGAGCGCACTCGTCAGCTACAAACTATGCCAAACTTTTACGGAAGCAACATGAAATAAATCTAGGGGTAGTTTGATCATATGAGAAGGGTTGCTCGCTGCCCAATTAGCTCGTCATTCAGCACACCTGTTGACAGGGTGACCAACGGGCGACAGACCGGCTGACAATTGGGCGTGACAGACGAAAATTCCTATATTAATTGACAGCACACGACCGGATCATCAAATATGCTTGTAAAATTTAATGAAAAATTAACAACACGAGAAATCAAATTGTCGCTTAATTGAGACACAATGCAACCAACTGGCAGCTATTAAATTACGTGTAAACAAATGTCACATTGAGAATGCCTCAAACAGCCCCAGCGATTGCCTCTGATTGAGGCCAAAAGGCCATGAGGCGAGCGGGCAAGCAGCCGACCAGGTGAGGTGATTTTAGGCAGTGCGCGCCTTGGCCAGGGGCTTGGCTTGACAAATAGCTGGGCCCTGACGCTGGCATTTCACGTCAGCTTTGATTTGACAAATTAATTGGGTTTTTGCTGAAAATAGGACTGATGCCTAACAGCTTAACTCTTAAAGTCTCTAAACACATGCAATATGTTCCAAAAGTATGTAACTCTGTTTAAGATTTCAGAGTAATTGGAATATAATTATACGAATTTATTAGCCATACCTTATACAATCAAAAAACAAATTGAACTTATGTGCAATACTGTTTTTGTTTTTACTATGACTCGAACGTTAATGCAAAAAGTGGCCTTAGAATCTGTTGAATGGTTAAAAATAAAACATTTTTAACGGAAACCACCATTATAACTATTTAATTGTATTAATTATACGAATATACATACAAATTTATTATAGAACAAACCGAAGCTTTTACAAAAATCTGAGTTTATGGAAGTGTTAAATCAGATTTCAACCAAAGGGCAGGCTCGAAAATATCTTTAGAACCCAGTGTGACACCCAACATTTTGATTCCCAAAGCCAAATCAAAGCCCACTTTCCTCGAGTCTACATGATCAATGATTAATTTAGACTAATGTTTTCTCTGGGAGCCATATGATATAGTAAGTAATATTTTCCTTATATCTTGAATTCACAGTAAAACGCATACCAATTACTTCCCGGCTATCAATTCGATGGATATATAAACTTTTCTCTTCTTTTACCTTTTTCGGTTGAACCTATGCACTCCAAAGATTTTCTGTGTTGAAAACGATGAATCGTTAATCCAAATTACATAAAAAATTTGAGGAACTGACAAAAAAAAGGCGAGTTGGCAGCTCTCATAGGTCGTATTATCGATTTCAAAAGGCACATCGCCCAGCTAAGCCCGAGTAATACTTTGGGGAATATGCAAAAAAAAATAAAAAGAAAGCCCAAAAATAAACTCGCACAAAAGTGCAAACGGAAATGGGAAATGGAAAATGGGGTAAGTAGCTCGGCTGTGAAAGTATGCCGTGAAGGTATGGGAACACGAGCAGCTCGCTGCTCAGATTTTCCGGTTCACATAATTGCATTAGATGGAACTGAAAATAGAATATCGCACATATAGGGACATACGTATGTATGTACGTAAATATATATGTACATATATAAATAAGAACGGCAAAAATCAATGCATGATGGTAATCAAATATTGCGGTTCCATTCGTAAAATAAGAAGCTAAAAGCCTTGACGCTGATAAGCACACACACACGCACACACACACACAGACACGCATGTGTGGTAAGGACAGTCTGAGGACATTTTGTATAGGATTTTGGCATTGCTTTGACATATTAAATAATGCCACAACAATTACAACTGTGCAGCATGTGACAAACGTCGCCGCTGACATCGAGCATCTCCGCAGGACGCACATCTAGAGATGGGCAGGGATGGCAGCAGGCACTACGACCGACCCACTGCCAGGGGCGGGGGCAAGCCGTAGAGATTTCGGCAGTATATATGCGAAAATCTCATGCTGCGCTGCCCACATGTCAACCCACCACCCGCAACGCAGCATTTTGTTTTTTTGCGAAAAATATATTTGCGCCGGTTGCCAGAAATATTTTTTAAAATTTGTTGTGCATATTTGAAAGCAAAATTGAATTGAAATCGAATTGATATGAAGCCACAATCGAATCGTGAACAGAACCCTGTTAAAACTAATAAATTTTGATAAATATAAAAATAAATTTAATCAACTGAAATGCAAAATTAAGATAACAATTCGACAAATTTGTATAAACAGATTCACGAACCAAAACTTAAAAGACAAATCGGTTCATTGAATGGAATTACCAACATTTTTTTATTGCAAATAAGTTCATTTGACAAACATTACGAGCACACCTCGCGCACTTACCTTTGGCAAATTTTCACTCTGTTGCGGGCAAATTATATTTTTCAGCTTACTTTTAGTCGGTTTCTTGTAATTTTTTTTATTTATTATTATTATTATTATTATTTTTTTGAAGTTTTATTGACAATGGCTTTGGTTGGAGTAGAAATGTCTGCTTTTGGGTTCCTTTTGAGCTTTTAGTTTTTTTATTCGCTTTTGTACTTTTATCAGTAAGCTTGGGAGTCTGATTTTTTTGTGTTCAAGGATTTATTTCGCAATGGCTTTCTGCTCCCATAAAGTACATTGGACTCAAATTTGTCGTGTTATTTACAGTGCATTACTAAATTTGTAATAAATAAAAATAATAAAAAGCTACTTAAACTATTTTTAAAATCGCGGAAGGTAATTTAAATTACTTTAGTATATCGTCAGACAGAATTATGTGGATTGATAAAGTTAATGGCAACATTTAGCTAGTAGATACATTTAGCTTCCGATTGTTATAAAACTTTCAACACTTAAATTGAAAATTGAGCCTTTGATTATTTTAAGCTTTAATTTATTATCCCCCATATAAGTCGATAGCTTCAGATCCCTATCATGAGAGTTCTTAATTTAAATCCCCAAAAATAGGTTGCAGGAATCGCCTTTGGCAGCTTTTAGGTGCCGCACAAAAGTAGGTAATACATTTTTAACCACAATTAGTTACAGTTCATAAATGACATCAACCTTGAACAAACAGTTTTTACAAATCTTACAAAACATAAACATAGTTTTATATATTACAAATATATAAGCAAACAAATTAATTGCGTTTTCTAAATATCTGACTACAATATTAGCCTAAAAAGTAAAATATATATTCCCGATGCAAGAGCCTACATAGTAAATGGTGATGCGTCTTATATTAGCCGGCAAATGCTTATTGGAAGTTCAAACATATAGATTTCGCAGATTTTTCGATAACATGAAAAAAGCTTGATTTGTCATATTGAAAGGTTGTTTCTAGATAGGCGAACAGATTCAAAGAGAGAAGGACTCCTCAGACGAACAAGGTTTAAATATTTGACTCCCTTCTCTCTTTCTCCTTCTGCTTCTTATTCACAGTTGAACAGACTACGCCAAATGCATCAATTAAGTATGTATTTCAAACTATAATAAGGAATTTAATGGTTGCTCGACCTTAGCAAATACAATTTGCTGTATAATACTTACATCGGATACCACATCCATCGGGTTAGTTGTAAATTGAACATTGTCGAGAATGCTTAAGTACCGTGCATTATTCTTGCTGCTGGCCATATTCTCTGTGCTGGCTAAAGCACGGCGTAGGAGTGTGGTATTTAAAAGGAGCGACCAGAGAGTTGTGGGTGGAACTACACTTACGGACACTATAATGTTTTCTGCAGTATCGATACAGGTTAATAATATCCATATTTGTGGTGGTACCATACTGAACCTTCGTTGGATCATAACGATTGCGGAGTGTGTAAGGGACAGGGATTTTGAAATGGTGATGGGCATACAGAATCAGAAGGATGACAAGAATGCATTCAGGCATAAGCCACTTGAAGTGGTTTTTCACTGTAACTACGACCGTTTACAAGCTACCAACGGCATTGCGCTAGTGAGAACTACTAACAGGATTGGGCACAGCTGGAATATTCAACACAGTAATCTGGCGGTGGAGGTGCCGCCAGAGGGTGCTAAAATTCGTTTCACCGGCTGGGGTGGCGAATCCAAAAATGAGACATTTTCAAGCAAACTAAAAATCCTAAATGCCAAATCCGTTTCCCATACGAACTGTCAAGGTCGCATAGATCCACACAATGTTTGTGCACATTTTCCAATGAACATGGGCCCTTGCAATGCGGACATCGGCGGTGGTTTATTTCACTTAGATGATCTGGTAGCCGTGGCCGGCCGTGAATTATCGTGTGGTGAAAATAGAAGCGATCAATTCGCCTCAATTCCATATTATTATGACTTTATACGCACTACTATAAGCACTTGTGATAAATTTTAAGGCGCAAAAATTAATACAAATCTAGCGAAAATATAATTAACAAGCTTCAAATAAAAAACCACAAATCGTTAATAACATTAAGATATATTAAAATATAAAAATAATATTTGAAAATATTATTCAAAAACTTGTTAAGTCTTTTAACATAAACCGAACCACTGATCATATTTGCTGTTTGTCCTGACTGACTGACTGACCGACTGATTGATAAGATCTAGGAAGCTGTAACTTGTACTTTAGTTACCTTTTGGGAAATTCCACCCGCAAGTATGGAAAAAGCTGGAACAACTTTTGTATGAAACTTTTTAGTTAACCATCCGATTGGTCTCAAACTTAATTTCGAAAATCTTTGTTAAAATTCATTTGAGGTGTGTTTCACACTTTTCCATAATTGGTAGAGACGGGAGTGAATGATTTGGTGGATGACCTTTCGCGCTCAAATTCATTTTCAAGAATCTATATGAAAAATCATTTGAGACGTGTTTCACATTTTTCGCAGAATTAAAGCATCTTCGGTAAAAAGTGCGATTCTAAGATTTCGTGAAGCCGAATTGCTTCGAACTTATTTTCAGAGCTCAACATAAGATCTTAATAAATACGTGTTTCAGCGATTTCGGAAATTCCACCCACAACAGTGGACAAGGCAGGGTTAGAAATAAATGAAAATATATTTAATGTTTTTTGTTGTTAACTTTCAAATTCCCAAATAGCTCGCCCGCTTATATAGAGTATATCGAATTTGTGCCTTATTTTCCTACTCGAAGTACATTAAAACATTGATTGGTGCTCCTTTAAAAAAAAAAAACTCAATAGTTTGCGAGTCAATTTCGGTTTTAACAAATCAAAAAACGCCTTCGATCGATAAGATAATCATTGGTAAGAGCCACTCAAATCAAGCTCATGTGTTGGCTATAAAAACGAAGTCCGTTCACTAATTCGGTAAATATATTTGGCAAGTGCTCAAAGCAAGTTATTAAAAAATGCAGCCGAACACTTTAATCTGCCTAAGCCTTTTGCTGTTGGCTTCTTTACTAAACGGCGTCCAGGGCGACGATAAGATGCCCGCCACAGAAGTCAAACGCTGTACGTTCTTAACTTTTGATACAATCCAAAGGCAGCACCTAACTAAATATGGTGAATCTCTATTTTGTTTCTAGGCTCGGGCAACAAGCCTTTTCCGTTGGAGGTGCGAGTTAGTGGCTGTGTGGTGCCACCATGTGATGTCATCAAAGGGACTGTTCAGACGTTTGAGATTGATTTTGCTGTAGACAAGTATATTACTAGTGCTACGACTCTGGTAAGGGCCACTACGCTGGGTATTATAACGGTGCCCTATGAGCTGCCTGAGGATGTGGCCGCAGTCTGTCCGAATCTAATGTATGGCGCCTACTGTCCACTATATCCCACGGAAGATGTTACCTATAAATTTGAGTTCCCAATTGGTGAATATCCCGAAATTGGTGTCAAAATTGAGATCTATCTGGTGGATCAGGATCGCGATATAGCCACCTGTTTTGTGTGTGATATCAAGGTGAAGAAGGGCTCCGCAGGCTCTCAGGTCTACGAACTGAACTACCTTAACTAAGAAACGACACTATGTTCAACTCATTTATATATCGGCATATTATACTGTGATACATACACGTTTTTTTTTTTTCAATAATTTACAAAAATAAAATACCAATGCTTTAAAAATGTAAACCAATGCACTTTCTCTCAACACTTGATTATCATAAGCAAGAAAAACTTTTCCGCCATAAGAAAAAGTCTTCACATGAATTTACCTCTATATTTACAACACCCCATCATATGCCCATAAAAGTAATCACTGACGATCTAATTTACGCCTGCCTAAGTGCAATCGATCATAAAGGTTCGACGCACCCTACAGTAACTAGTGTCAAGTTAATTGAGACGCTAAGCCAAACGTAATACCCCATATTGATAAGGCCTAAGTACTCATATATGGGCCTAGCACACCTGTTCGCGCATGCAACTAACTGTTTCCCACCCGCTGGAAAAGCAACGCGAAGGACGCAGATAAATGTACCGGAGCTATCAATACCCAAAACAATGATTGACTGAAGACCTTATCAAGTTGCATTTCAAGAGTAAGAATCACCGTGCACTGTACAAAAATTTAATAACACCACAGACAGAATGAAAACAACATATTTTTATTTGTTTTCGATCTTTGAAGAAAATTTCATAAAAATTATTTAGCTGTCGAATTTAAATGAAATATACATATGATACTTTTTTGACATTTACATTGAAAAAATACACATTACCCACTACCTGATTCAGATGCTGCAGGTTGTATCTGCTATATGCTCAGGTTCTCTTGCAATTATTGTCATCTCTCTTCAAATCGCATTCGTAAACGTTTTTTCGTACTTTGTCTACTTTCTAAATTTTGGTCTTAAGCATTTCTAAATTCCCGGAAAAATCGAAATATTATAATTTTTTTAATTTAAAGTTCCTCAAGACCAGGAGTTTTTTAATTTTCTTTCCATTTCAACTAAATTTTTATTAATTATTAAGTTTAAGGTTAATTTCTACTTATAATTGACCTTACCACAAAGTAAATGTTTCCATAAAAATTGCATATATCAAAAATGAAAGATTCTTAAAGTTTTTAAGAAAAATATCCATATCCATAACATTTTCAAATATCCTACATAAAAGAACAAAAGTTAAATAGTTACCCATTTTTATTTATTATTAAATATTGTAATAAGTAGACATTTAATAAAAGTACGAAAAACAATAAGAAATTTGCTTAAAAGTTTAACATGAAAAGAATAATACTGCTTGATTTCTTGCAGTGTTGATTTGCACCTAAAAAATCTAAAACCTATCAGCCGCAATCAAGACCTGTTGACCATATGGCCAATTCATGAAGCCTGCTGCCGGTCAATAAATGATTATCATAACGGATTTTATTAGTATGTGAGCTACCCAGGCAATTAAAATTAATTTATAATTTGAGTGCAAATGGCAACGTCACAAATCTTATCAATTGAATCGCAGCTAGTTAAGGCAAAAGCTGATTAGGCGGTACACTGGAAGGCAAACAAATGATGACGTCGAATCAGTAAACAAACGTGGGCTATCAGTTGAGAATTCGAAGTTTATTAGTCAAGAATATGACAGGCGACCAATTGCTGAATCAGTTAGTCTAGAAGTGTCGTGTCGGCTACAAGTCCATATAAAACGTTTGCCTTCGATATGGCGTTGGGCTCGTGCGCATCCAATAGCAGCTGTTCGTGTCGCGATGAGGGACCTTTACGGATTTTACAAGTGACCACAAAGCAGGAGATTGGATTGTCGTTGGCATCGTTCAGTGTGACCGTAACATCGGCGGTAATTTCGGGAAATGCGGGCTCCACGTAAAAATTGAATCTATATGTAACATCCTCGTCCTTGTCAATGGGACAGATGGCGCCATACAACAGATTGATGCACACATTTGATACCTCCTCGGGCAGGTCATACGGCAAATTCATGCCAAAAACTTTCGCAGTGACCTTCGTTGTAATACTCGCAATATTGTTCTTATCTATTATAAACGAGAATGTTAAAGGATTGGTTCTTATAATCAATACACAGAGCTCCCTTTTCTTACGCACTTACCGCCCAAAAACTGAACATCCATTATAGCGAATTGTCCTTTATAGACCACGCATGGCGGCTCTTCGCAGTCTTGGATGACAACGCTTAGTGGAAACGGTTTATTAGTACCTGAAATTTAAAAGCTTTTACTGCAGTTCTTAAAAGTATGCTACGCTTGTTTTAATTAAAAGCTTTGCATTCCTTGATTAGGTAGCATTCTGATAAGCCTTATCGGCTAAGTGATAGCTATATTTATTAAATGTTTATACGCATTTATATATATATACAGATTATATACATCCTGATTTTAAATGCTTTCAATGATGAATAACGTTTTTTTTTTTCGTATCAACAACAAAAAAATACCTAAGGCTCATAGATAGGCAATTATCAGGTAGAGTCTCCAAGTTGAACAAAAACTTGCTGAAGCACATGAGTACTACGAGTACACGAGTACTTGGAGGAATTAACCTGACTGTCCAGAAGCTATGGGACTTTACCTTGAGAAACATCGAACATTTTTCAATTCGTACTTAAAGATGTGATCAAATATTACAATCAAAAGTTCTTAGCAAATGTGCACATCCCAGGACAAAACTTTATTGGGAACAATATAAATTATAAATTAACTTTCAATAAGCTTCAAAAATGTTAAGATTTAGAGCTTCACGTTTACAATTTGTAGTTGTCTGGCTGTGATTTTTAAATCGACTTACATTTTTTGACAGTGGTAGCGGCACCAAAAACGCAAAAATATGCTAGCGTTAGCAAAACAACTCGAAACATTTTGATAAAATTGAAACTTCTGCAACAAGACAATATCGCCAGCAGTTTAATACAGTGAATGAAACTATTGCCTCAATGGAGGAACATTAAATAGCAAAAGTTTAGAACTGATGACCAAGTTGTGTGAGGTTTATCAAACGCGACGCAGATTGCTATCGAGGGCCAGGTGTTACAAAGAAAGAAAACAAAAAAAATATTAATAATGATAATGATGAAAATACAATGTATTCTGCAGGTGTACGCCCGGCTTCGCTTAAATCAGTATATAACGTAAAATACGACTGATAAGTCTAGGACCGCCAATACGCAGCAAGAGCTGAGATAGTTGACAAATGTCGAGATTAGTTTAAAGTATTAAATAAACATAGCCGGCACAGCTGATCAAATGTGAGACCGCAGTATTTCTTAAATTGCATGAATCATTAACTCTAGAAACGCTAAGATTTGAAATTAACTGCTAATTTTTTTAATTTGCAATCGTTGCAGAACACGATATACCAAATGCCTATCGAACATCCACCACAAGTTATCGATTACTTTGATAGTCTTAGCGCCAAAAAGCGGTCATACTTTTTAGGCTGGCCAAACTTCTCTTTAGATATTGCATTTAAATTTCTTTACAAATGACTTTAGAGATAAATAATTTGAAGCGGGACTTGGCAGTCCAATACCCTGGCTTGTATATTGAGCGCAGAAAAAACAACGCCCATAGCATAGACGGGGTTATCTATATAAATGATAAGTGGTTACGCCTAAAACTTTATTTACCGCATTTTCCAGAACTGCGCGACTTTGAATTGCATCTGCAGCACCACTTGGAATACAAAAGCTACAACAGCACAAATTTCCAGATCCAGACAAATTGGCAACTTACGGATCTACTGTCAAATCTGGCACAGCTTCTACCTGAAACAGTTGTCTTCGACGCTTGCCCGACTGCCCAACAAAAAACTAATATTTATACCGAGATTCTGGAGCTACACAAACCACAGCAGTATCGCCTTCAGCTGAATGAGAGTTGCTCGCGCATTCGCTTCTGTAGCTTTGCCGAGCATGAAGCGCATTACCTAGAGTTGGAGCTGCCCACTTTGCGACTAATAGAACACAGCCTGCCACACTGCATTCAACTGGCAGATATATTGGCTAGCAGCTCGCGTACACTTACGGACATATTGCATCTCTATCTGAAGCTGCTGGAGGATCTACGTCCCTTTTACGAAAGCTTTGCCAGCATTGATGAGCTGTGCGATGTTCTACAGCCTTATCCTATTACCACTAAACATAACACACGCGTGTTTCCACTGAAAGAGCGTGTCTATCTCAAACTGACCATAGCCGATCCCTTTGCTAGCTATGCCTCTATGGCTGTGCAGATTATAGGACCCACCGAAGAGGTGGCCCAATTACGGCATGTGCTTAGCGATGGACTCGGAAACTGGGACATTGAGCTGGACATGCATAAGAACCTTTTGAACATATTCGATTTATGCTACTTTCCCATGCCAGCTGATTTTGAACAGCCAAAAGATGATGACGAACAGCAGCGTTGTAATATTTGTTTTGTCTATCGTTTGGACAGCGGTGAGGTGCCAATTGTGTCGTGTGATAATCCGCGCTGTGTGCTTAAGTGCCATGCTGCCTGCCTGAAGGAATGGTTCGACACGCTGATCGATGGCAAAACCTTTCTGGAGGTGTCCTTTGGCCTATGTCCGTTCTGCAAGGCAGTAAGTATTTACTAATATTATGCAGATGCAGAGTAGTTTTCTAATCTTTGCCTGACTTTTCAGAAGCTGTCCACCTCTTTTGCGGCCCTTTTGAACAACTAAACCAAATTTCCAAAATATTTAACTCATTCTCTATAAATGTATTGCGATTTGATTGTATTTATGTATTTACTTAAAATACAACATATATTAATTTAAAATGAAGAAAGAGTAAATCACGCCGATATCTTAAATATGAATTAGTTTTAATATAACTTGGTAAATCAATCTTTATGTTTGCATACATACAATCCCGTCTATTTGACGACTTCAGTTGCATTTTAAATGTACTAGACGAAAGTGTGAAACGAATTTGAAATGCTCTGTATTAGCTAGAGATTACCCAGCTCCTGAGATGGCCGACGACGAACGTCAGACCGTCGGCAACAACAGAAGCCGCCAACACGTTTCACCAGTCGCCAACCTCATTCAAGTTCTCTGGAAACGAGGCGCAACAGATTGCGTACCACAAATGTGCTGCCATGCGTGGGCGTACGCTCACTGGTTTTGCCAATACGGACACTGGAGCCAGCCAGGCCAAAGAATACCTTGGGGGCCAGATTCGGTTCAACTGCCTTGAATTCCCACCCAACATGTTGCGCGCAAAACTTGCAGATAATTATATGCCACTGGTAGCCGGGAAACCAACTAAACTCGGTGGATGGCTCACCACTATAACCAATGGCATGTGCAATGACACGATAGACCGTATTGGTCTCGTGGATATAGCCAGCTGGAAGAGAACGGATTATATCAGTTGATATGACCTATGTGACTTAAATTATCACAATCAGCTCACCCGAATTGCAATATTGCGTTTGGACGCCATGCTTGGACATTGCAAATAAATCCGAACAATAAGCCAGACTGCTGTTGCAGTAACGGCAATAGAAGAGCGACTCCTGCTTTAATGTGGTATCAATGATCTGCAGTCTTATATTCACCGAATCCGTAAGAAATGTCAAACGCATCATTTTCTCTGTGAGATGCAAATTGCGCACCAGCCAAAATGACAGCTGGATGGGACACTTTGGCATGGTATCAATTTTGTGTATTTCTAGCTTTTGGCGTGCCTTCTCAACAATATGCTCGAATGAATACTCTTCGCATGCCTCGTATGGCCACGGTGTGCTGGTTAGTTGATAGCGTCGAAATTTTTTCTCCATCGAGGGTATATCACGAAAACGGTTTAACGAACCCATGTCAATGCATTTGAGCGGCTCGGGCAGAAAGTACTCTGGCAATATTTTAACCTTGCTGTAGCACTTCATGGTTGGGTTGCGTGCAATGTACTGGGGCGGCCTGAAAAAACATTTTCCAAGATTAAAAAGGATTCAGCGCAGGTTAATCATCCAATGACCCTCACCCTTGTATATCGTCGCAGTTGATGACGATGCGTTGCAGTGCACGAGACTTGTAAAAAACATGCTGTCGTCCACTTTCCCCTTTCTCATAGATCTGGCAAGTAACACCGTAAAGCTTATGTGGGTTATCGTCCGGTGGCTGCATCAGAGGAAAGCCAACGCCAAAAATGACGCCATCGCGTCCACTGTCCTGGATCTCTTCATCGATAATGCTGCCATGAATCATGAACGGCAAAACCTCGCCGGGGAAAAGTATATGCTGATGCATAAATATAAGCATGCGATGTGTGCTGCCGACTTCCAGATAGTCCACGCCGGGCACACGATTTAGATTTGTGCCAAAATATGAATGCTCCGCTGGCAGATTTGTGTCAAAACGTACGCCCTCCTCCATGTCAACATCCAGGGGTGCTGGCGGTGATTCTGGGGTCTCATCTGGAACAGTATTGATCACATCAGCGTTAGCCTCATCGCTCGCTCTGCCACGAATCCGATCCTGGCTAAAAACCATGCTACGCACGCGCTGCAAAAAGTTTTCACGTCGCAACAGTGTTGCAATACCTCCATCCCGATTGCGCGCCTGGGAGACCAACATGTCTACCGCCGAACGGACACGATTCGCCGGTATCATCCAACGTGGCACGGCCTCCGCATCCGAATCGTCTGTGTGTGAACGTGTAATGTGTGTTATTTAATTGGAATCGTTATGTCCTTTGACCTACCTTCACTGCCTGGACTGTCTAGCGACATGTCACTGCCGCTGTGCCTTGAACTAATGCTCGCCCTGCTCGGACTGTCATAAGGCAATGAAGCCTGTTCCTCCTGCTGCGCTGGCTGCTCCTCAATCTCAGCAGGCGGTCTCGCATTTTCTGCCAGTGCAGCCGTACCTGGGTCTTCTCTCAGTTCGTTGGCACGACGCATCAGCTCTGTCACATCGACCATTAACTCACTTACCTCCTCGAACATATTGTCCACCTCCTCAATCATATTCTCAAGCCTGGCACGACTATTCACATGGGCCGTTGACACGGCGGCTATTGCACTAACTGCAGCTCCATCTCCACTGCCGTTTTGTGGCATTTCCTGCTGCAGTTGCTCTGGCCCCAACTCTACCTGCATGTCAGCTGCAGCTGAGTTGGTCTCATCGATTTCTGCGCATATAGTTGGCCACATTTTAATGTTTCATTAAGTTGACCGTTAATTCTTTAGACCTACCTGCAGTCTCTTCGTCATCCATTTTCTCTAAAGTTCAGTTTAGATTGTGTATTTTTTTTCGTTTAGAAAAATTAAAATTTTTCGATTTTCGTGCTGTTTTCTGTGTTATTGATATGTATACAAAGACACAGATGAAGGTTCTCAGACAGGGTTGCCAAGTGTCCCACCCTGTTCGATTAAAATTTTTTTATGTTAAAGGCGCCGCATAATTGGTAATGTGATTAAAGAAAATATTCCAAATTTTAAGTAAATAATTCAAAACAGTTTAGTGGTGGATTTTATAATTTTTTAAACATGTTAATATAGTTTATGCTCGCACTGCATAGTTGCTTATAGTAGGCTGATAGCTCTAACAGAGCATTAACATTTGTCACCATGTACACCGACCATTTAACATAATCTTTAACATACAGCGTTCATACTAACATATGCTTGGAGCTCAGCTTAAAGCTGCTGCTCGGCGCTTCCCAGCTATAGCTCAGTTTTATTTATTCTGCATATCGAGTCGAAACTAATTAAAACAAGTAAAATGTTTCAATTGCATATTTTGCTACTTTGTGCATTGTTTCTGATTGTCATTGGTGTGGGCTGTGCTCAAATTGCATATGTGGAGGATGCGGACATCGATAAGAGGAAAATAAATCTGGAGGTAAACGATCAGCACGACCTTCTGAGTTGATAAGACGAGCAAAATCAACATTGAACACAAGCAAAACCTTGTAATTACGCACAATTTTTCTCTCTCTCTCTCTCTTTCTCTTTCCTCCTCTCATTATTTGTCTAGGGCCGCAAGCCGCTTTACTCGCCTGCTCGCTGCGCCCGCTATCAGCTCTTGTACCCTGGAGATCAGCTTAATGACTGGATATGCGATTGCGCGCCAGGTGAGCGATGACATAATAACAATATTCAATTATAACGCATATACTATCCACTGACAGCGGCGCTTTATCATCCGGAAACCGATGCCTGCTATCCGGCGTACAGGCAAGGCCCCTGCAATGAGACTGAAATGCTGGTGCTGTATAAGGAGAAAATCATACCCGAATGCGTTAGCAATCCCTGTCGTCAAGATGGTCATTTTCTGATACGCGACAAGTGCTTTGAGTTTGGCAACGTCAATAACAGTAACAATCCCTGCCCCAACAAGGAATACACCTATGTGCTGGGCGTCAATCCAAAGACCCTGATGGTCGACTGTGTGCAGCTGTCCATGCAGCTAGAAACACGCATTTCCGAACAGGAACCTAACCAACCAGTGGCTCCGCCCGATTACCACATTGAGCTGGCCGAGAAATGCCTACGCGGCAGTCGCCTTTCCACTCAAGGGCGTTGCGCAGCTGCGCCCTGAAAGTGGGTCAAATTAATATACTCAACATGATTTTTAACTTTTTAGTTTATAGCAACAATAACAACTACTTATATACATGTTAATCGCGAGATGTTCACGAATTTAAACAGGTGATTTGATTTTCCTACGACTCTTTATCTGTTTCGGAGCAGGTTCGTCTGTCACCTCAAGGAGCTCGTCAATGTTTTCACTGCTGATATCATCCTCTTCGACCAGATTGACGCCAACCTCTAAGCTCTGCTCATCGTTGACTGTTTCCAGCTTAAGCAACGTGTTCTCCATGGAGGCCAAAAACGAACTCTCACTGTATTCCGGCCATTGCCGAAACTGTGTGAATAGAGTCAACATTTGACTTGGTGTCAGATCACCAAACTGTGTGTATATGTTAATGCCAGGATAATAATTGCGTTTACTCATGCTGGTGCTCTGCATTGTGTACTGCGGCAAGTGCTGTGTGGATTCATCGGCATAGATCGGTGAGACGTTCTCCAAAGCATTCTGATTGATAATCAGCCGTGGTCCGCAGCCGGGTACCCATTTCCTGAACAGAATTCAATTGTTAAGTACATGGCATGTAGCTTTATAGCGCACTCACTCTAAATTGGGTATGATGCGATTGCGCCGACTCACAAAATTTTGCTTGATAAAGTACCATAGAGCAGGCAGATCCTGAACTGGACATATTTCATGCAGGTTGCGACGCGGCACAAATTTAACTAAATACAAATACTCAGGATTGATGGACCTGACCTTGGCCAATTTGCTGCCTTTGCTTATATTATAGTCGGTCTGTACTGGTAAAAAACTCTCGCGTGGTAACTTGGCTATAAAACGATACTCGAAGAGTATTTGAAACAGCACCGAGGCGGAGCGATAGATCAGATAACCGATCTCATTCGAGCAGGTCAAATGCTATAAAAATAGTATATATAAGGAATTGGAAAGGGTTAGCATGTAGCGATACGCACAATATAAATGGGGGGCGGCAGCGCCAGAATCATTTCACAGCGTCCCCAGTTGTAGAGGCTCGTCTGGAATATTAGCGAGTTGATCAAGTGCTTAAAGAACGGATAGGAACCCACGGCGCCAAATACGAGCATATTAGCATCTGCAAAAAGAGGCCGTAAAGAATAATTACTCGGGTGTGACAAAAATAAAACACCCATCCATACATAAAAGTTATAAGCAATAAGCTTATCACCTTAAAGTTATGGGATCGGAGATGCTGCCTTCTATGTTAAGGAATGCTGAGAAAATCACTTGCCTTCGTTAAATGCGCGCTGTGGTGCGTCGCTTAGCAAGTCGACCAGGCGCGTGCCGCTGTCCATCTTATCCATGAAGGCAAGCTTCCATAGTGCAATAAAATCGCCGTGCCGCACCTTGACACGATCCGGATACAACGCATGCAACTCCTGTAGGCGCGGCATAAAGTGTTCCATCGATTCGATCAGGATGATCTTACGAAACTGTGTTTCCCGGTCGAGCAAATGCTTTGTAAAGTAACCCGGTCCGGGATTCAGCTCCAGCACAGTGTCGCATTTGGTTTGCCCCAGATGGGGCTCCAAGCAATCATTGATCTGCTGAGCTATCTGGGCATTGGCCACATACATGTGTGGGGCACTCTTTTGCTTTTTGGTGAGCAGCTTCTCTGGAAATTCGCCGCTATAGCGTGACACCCGCTCCGCTTGCTCGGCACGCTTAGCCTTAGTGCTTTGATAGCAGTTGTTCAGCTTTTGAATGTTTCTCGCGCCGCACAGCTTGAAGCTGCAGCGCAGCGACATCATTTTAGTTAAGTTATTCAGAGTAAATAAAGAATTCTTTTAGAATTTATGCGCCGTATCGGTCTGTTTTTGTTTGTTTACAGCACTCACATCTTTTTTGGTCTTCGCAGCACTGAATCGGTAGTTTTCTAACACTTGTTTTGTTGGTTATGTTTACAAATACATTAGTTTTACAGCTGCTTAAGCTTTGGGCAGATAAACCAATCAATTTAATTTAATTGTAAATTAAAATTAAACTGTTTCGAAATGGGCAAGGCCATGTCTATGGTGGCACGCAAAGCTAATCGTTTTAATGTAGAGAATCGTGCACATCGCGTACTGGAACGCGAAAAGCCGACGCCGGCACCAAAATATGAGTCCAATTTACGCGATATGGAAAGAACATTGGAATGTAAGCAATCCTGCTGGCTGAAAGAATATATATTGTTCACTTGACTTGTTATATATTTGTAGTGGATCCCAAATTTGTGGACAAACTCAACACAAAGGACGCTGGCTTGGACACACGACTAAAAGATGTTTATGTAACATCGCAGGATCAATTTGTGGGTTAAACAAAAGTCATGCTACAAGCTAATTTATAAAACCATATTGAAATGTTATTAGATTCAACGCGTTTTGGAACGTCAAGAAGCTACTGCCAAAGAAGAACGACCGCTGCCTTTGGAGCGCACCACACCCGAAGATTTTGAGTATGGTTATATGGAACCAACACGCACCTCACAAGGCCGCTGCACTCTGCGGCAGGCACTGCAGTTTATCAACAATCATCAGCTAGATCCCGAAGAGTGGACAGCTAAGAAAATAGCGACTGAATACAAAATAAAGGAGTCGCACGTCGGTAAGTTTAGCGAACTTTATTTGTATCTGAATGCTAAACTCTAACTCACTTTTCCTATAGATAATATACTTTACTATTTCAAGACGTTTAGCGTCTATATTCCTGATCAGAAATATAAGGATAAAATGTTGACGCAATCTAAACCAAAACTTATACAGGATAAGCCAGTATAGAGGACAATGATAGTAAAACTTAGTTAAAAATCAAATGCAATAGGAGCGTTTGTCTTAATAGTTAAAAAACTTGTTATTAATTTAAAACTATGTTTTATTTTACAAACTGAGACTGCGCTTCTTATGGATCACACAATGGCATTGGATGGACAGTTATAAATGTTAAGAGACTTGTCTTCTGACGCTGATATTACTTTATCGTTGCTTGGGCTGTAGCGTACACCCCAGACTTGATCTGTGTGCTCGTTAAAGGTGTGCAGACATTTTCGCTCCGCTGTATCCCAGACTTTTACACTGCGATCACTGGACGAGCTGGCAAAGTGCTTGCCGTCCTCCGAGAACGAGACGCACAGCACCCAGGAGGCGTGGCCAGATAGTGTACCAACCACATCGGAGTGTGCGCTAAAAATTCGAAAATCTTTAAAATATTCAGCTTGACTGAAAACCAATTAACTTACACATCGTACAGCTTCATGTGTCCATCGTCAGAGCCGGTTAGCAACATTTGGGAGTTGGGCGAAAAACAGAGGCTGCGCACAGGCATGGCGTGGCCTTCAAGCGTTTGCGCTACTTTGCCAGCAGCCACATCGAAGATGGTAATGATGCCATCAATTGCACCATTTGCGATGTACTTGCCATCAGGACTCTAAAAATGTAAAAAGTACACTTTATAGTAGTTTCCACCGAGATAAATAACTTCTTTACTCACATATGCAATGCTGAGCGTGTATTTGCCATTTTGAGCATCCAGCACTTGTTCGGCTTTTCCAGTTTCCACGCTGTACATAGAGATCTTGCCGTCGTTTAAGCCAGAAATGACATACTTGTTGCACGGCGAGAATCCTACAGTCCACAAATCAACTGGACCGAATGTTAACATATGTTTCTTATCGCCAGTCCTGGCATTCCAAAGGCACATGCTAGAGTCCAACGAACTGCTGGCAATTGCTGTGAAATTAACTATTGTACATTATCCTATAAATTATCGACTAGCGCTTACTTTGACCATCAGAGCTGACGGCAACGGACACGACACCAAGAGCATGGCCCTTTAGCTTGTGTCGCAGTTTCAGTGTATTGTCTTCACGTACATCCCATACTTTCACCAGGTCGTCCAGACCGCCAGTCACAATGAAATCTGTTGGTTTTTTCTCTTTTTTGTCAAAATCAAATGGATTTTCTTCCTCTACCACATCCTCCCCATCGTCACTAGCCGGCTCCGGGTCGCGTCCCCAGGCGCATGCCCAGAGTGCATTGTCGTGAGCATTTTCCTCTTTGTGTAACAATGAAAACTACAAAACAACTTTTCAGAATTTAGTTTTCTATTTGCCTGGTATATCACTTACCATTCTTAATGCAAATGCTTACAACTATATTTTGGCAAAATTGGCTTACGACAGAGTTGCATAGAATAGCTCACGAAACGACTCACTAAATTGAACTAAGTCATTAGATTCGATTTTTGGATCTGACACTGGAATCAATTTAACGCATCAATTTCTTTTTTAATCCCATAAGCAAATACATTTTATTGCAAAATTGTACAAAAAAAAATGAAATGGTAATTGTCCATATTCATACGTTGTTTGGTTTCAGCCCTAAATATTTTTGAACATCGAGCCATTATCCCACAGTTAGATGATTCCGGTTCCGGAACCAACTTCCAAATATCGACGCAGAGACCAACGATAGTTTGACGCACGTAATTCGACCCACATGTTGTAAACAAAACAAAATGCCTACAGCTCAGCCGATAGTAACTGTTGTACGCGCTGGACGCCAAAGTTACGCAGCTGGACTGCGGTTGCAAGCAGAGCTGGCAAAACAAAATGTTTTGCAGTATACGGAGTTTCGTAATTTTCTGCTGCTCCTGGAACACGATCCCGTCTACACCATAGGCATACGAACCAAAGGCTACACATCGCAGGACGAGGATCGATTGCGCAAGCTGGGCGCGGATTTCCACCGCACAGATCGTGGTGGTTTGATTACATTTCACGGCCCCGGGCAATTGGTTGCCTATCCAATTGTAAATCTGCGTCAATTCACGCCAAGCATACGCTGGTATGTGGGCACGCTGGAGCGCACTGTGATTGAAACCTGCCGTCAAATGGGCATAGCAAATGCGACCACCACGAAAGACACGGGCATTTGGGTGGGCGATCGTAAGATTTGCGCCATCGGCGTGCACGGTTCGCGTTACATCACAACACATGGCATTGGCCTTAATTGCTCCACTGATTTGAAATGGTTCGAACACATTGTGCCCTGCGGAATTGAAGGCAAAGGCGTAACGTCCCTCAGTG